TAGATCGATAGATCTATGAAAACTTGAAAATCTTGAAAATTGTTGGTCCAAAAATACGTTACAAAATCCGCTATTTCCAAACCTTGAAATCCATTTTTTTCTCATGTCCATGCTTCTTGATGTAGAGATGATCAATTTGAAGATAGTTGGGCATACAACCTCTTCTAGTGAAATTTTTGAGGTAGGCTCAAATTTGAATGTTTAGAGCCTCGGCTCTATATAAACTTTTCCCCCTAAGTTATATTCCAATATTTTTTCTTGCCTTTATTGAGCTTCTAAAATTGGTAATATTTTAAATTTTAATTACTTTCATCGTTGATTATTTTTACTTTCCACACAATATACATCTCTATAAATGATTAGTTATTTTCATATTCTTTCGATTATTGAGTTGCTTACTCTCTACTTATAAAAAAGATAAGCTAAACCTTAAGAAGCAACTTAATTATATACAATTTTTGTAAGTGCAACACGTAATTAAAATCATCTATGATAAAAATCATCTACAATTAACAATTAAGAAAAATTGTTTCATGCGAGCTGGACCGCATTTCTACACATGCGATCAAGAATCTGGAAAGCATATATCTTAAGGGTGCAGTTGCTATATGGATGCATCCGTAGCTGTAGAGGTACGGTGCACCTTCAAATTTTATCATGTTATATAATTTTGATGTAAAATGTTTTTAGGATTATCTCAAAATCTATTTTGATATCTAATTATAAAATTTTAAATTTAAAAAATGGTTAAAATCAAGTAGATCTATAAACATATGAAAATATTGAAAATAGACGGTGTAGATAAAATGTTGTAAAATGTACTATTTTTAAGACTTAAAATCTTTTTATTTTTCATGGTCATACATCTCGATGTCGAGATGATCAATCAAAATGTTTTTCAACAGTAAAACTACCTTCTCCGATGTATTTTTGAGCTGCATCCGTAGTTCTACATTATAAGGTTGCATCCTTATATAAACTTTTTCCATATCTTAAAGATGAATGCAAGTACGTGTTCCATCCAAAAACAATGGAAACTAACGGTCCAAATGTTTTCTTACTAGAATTATTATTTTTAAATTTATTTCTTTTATCATATTCATGATCTCCATGTT